GACCCTCGACGCCCCCGTCCCCGGCAAGCGCGAGCTCGACGAGCGCCAGGCCTTTGCCGGCGACGGCGACGCCGCCCCGGCCATCCAGTCGGCCTCGAACGCCAAGGACGCCTCCGAGACGCGCCCCGGCGGCGGCGGCGTCGGCCAGCAGCTCTTCTTCGGCACCGCCGCCGACCTCACCTGGGAGACGACGCTGCCCTGGCTCGCCGCCCACACGGACCTGCCCATCGTGCTCAAGGGCCTGCAGACGCACGAGGACGCCTACCTCGCCGCCCGCTACGCGCCCCAGGTCAAGGCCATCATCCTGTCCAACCACGGCGGCCGCGCCCTCGACACGGCGCCCCCCGCCGTCCACACCCTGCTCGAGATTCGCAAGTACTGCCCCGAGGTCCTCGGCCAGATCGAGGTCTGGGTCGACGGCGGCATCAAGCGCGGCACCGACATCGTCAAGGCCCTGTGCCTCGGTGCCACGGCCGTCGGCATCGGCCGCGGCGCGCTCTACGGCCTCGGCGCCGGCGGCCAGGCCGGTGTCGAGAGGACCTTTGAGAGTGAGCCCCCTGCCTTGTACACCACTTGCCTTCATTTTCACCCCTTGCCTTGATTCACATCCCTTGCTCTTCTTCGCCCCCTCCTCCTCACGTTTGTGCGCCCGAGGATGCATGCTGACACTCACCACAGTCCTGCAGGCCGAGATGGAGACGTGCATGCGCCTGCTGGGCGCGAAGACTGTGGCGGAACTCGGTCCAAGATTTGTGAGCAGTGACTTTTTCTTTGGGCTCATGTCCCTTGACCATACTAACGTTCCACTGCAGATCAACTCCCGGATGGTCGAGAGGGATATCTACGATGGCGAGCCGGGGCTCGACAAGGGCGGCCTGTGGACAAAGTCGAAGCTTTAGATCTTGTATTGAATATAAATGCCATTTACAGTTTTATGTTCGTTTGCTATGCACTAGGCGTGAGGTTGAGTTCAAGTCTGCATGCCTCAGCTGCCTATCGCGTATCGGCCTCGCATCTTGGTCAGCGGCGACGACCATGCCGATTCCATGCCGCATCTCTCCAGCCATCTATCCCAAAAGACCTCGCGCCCTTTGTCTCGTGCCATCGTAGAATCTAACCGCCTTGTCCGTGCAGACCCTAAAAGTGTAATAAATACTGGGCATGTGTGCCGAGTATATGGACTGCCTAGAACAGTCGACTAATCATCATCCATGTCAATAGATTATTTGTCGATGTTGAGAGCACTCGAGATCGATAAAAATTCGGGTCCAGCCCAGCGACAGCATCACTGCACAGCCCAGGCATGCCAGCCTCATCCTGCGTATGGAGGCCTTGATTCAATCGAGTGTGACGCTAGGCGAAAGATCGTGCTGACCGCCAAACCATCCTCTGCAAAAGATCGTCTCGATCGCCCAGCCTAGGATCACCTCACACCATCACCACCGTCATTGTCACCAAGTAGTGCGCCTAAATAGCGGCTGCCGCTAGGCTGTGTTCGCTGGCGGTGCCTCGAATGCGCGGCAGTCCGACGCCACACAACCTGATCGCAGCCGCAGCTGACGGCAGGAACGTCAGCATTCTAAGACTGGGAGCTGCATATTAATAAACATGCCTTGTCCCCAGGCACCGAGTCTGCGAGATCACTCGATCCATCACTTGAAGACTGCGAACGTTACCTCGATTCACCCCAAGGCGCATCCGAGACACAAAAACCATGTTCGGCAGAGACGATAACCACAACTATACTGATGGCGCTGAGCCGAAGAAGTCCCTGTACCAGCGGTTCAAGGACCGTAAGAAGGGCGGCGAAATCTCCGAGGCGGACGTGGCCAAGTACACGGGCATGAGCAAGGCGCAACTCGCGGAATGGGCCAAGGACCGACCAGGCGTCGGGGGCCAGCAAGCGGCCGGCAAGATCAACGCAGGGGAAGCGTCGGGGTTCGCTGGCATGAACGCTGCGGATGGGTACGCCACAGGGATTCGAGGCGAGGACGGGCCCAAAGGTTTCCCCAGGAAGCACAGTCGGTAGTAGTAGACGAGTGGCTTCAGGTTGGGTTGACGAAATCGAATCAGGCAAGAAGATGGTGTGGCGGATGGTCTCGTGCTTCACGTGCGTTGCCGCTCTCGTGGTGCGTGTCGACGGATCGCTGACTCGTTCTTGCGTTGACAGAAGTCGAGAACGAGGGCAGCCAAGACGAAGAGCATGGCGGATCGAGCAGCTGAACCACGGGCAGGCGAAGGCTGAGTATTTGTCACATGTCGAAGACAGGGCAAGACGGATTAAGTTTGGTCGTGTCGAGCCAAGCAAAGTGGAAGTGAGATATTGGTTGCTTGACCCATGTCGGGGGGGGGAGAGCTTTCACAATGGGAGGCGCCGATGTGTAGTGCCACCCACCACAACGGGCAACCTCTGACCCGCAGGCAAGAGTGTTCGGGGGGGCACTGCAGGGCGTAGGGCCTCAAGCAGGGAAGAGGGGCGGCGGGGGGCAGGAGGGGCAGGAGTACCAATTAGGGGAGGAGGTACCCAATGGTAGGAAGATACCTAGCTAAGCAACTAAGGTAATTGGAGGAAGGGCCTACCAGCAATAAGGAGCTCCACTCGGGGTGCACCTGGCCCGTTTCGCCAAGTACAGGGCAGAAGATCCAAGATGTGCAGGCGACACCTGCTGTTTGCTGCTGTCGCTGCTGTCGCTGCTGCCCATTGCTTCTTGCCCGGCTGGTCTCCCCGCAGCGGGTGTGCGGCACCATCCCCATGTGCCATGCAAAGGAGCAAGACCAATCGCTGGGCGCTCTCCTGCCCCTTGTCTGACTTGTCTGAGGCGAGATGCGCTAACCAGTGGACCGAACCAGCGTTGGGGAGCCCAGCAGAGCCCACTACCCGTTCCGCCCTTCCATCGTTCCATTCGAATCCTTCCCCTGCCCTTTTCTTGCGCCTCTCGCTCTACTCTTGTCTGCTTCGAACTTGGCCTCTTGACTGTCCGTCACGGCGCTGTCACCGGCGTCTCCCAGTCTGTGCCTTCCCGCCAGACTAACAAATACTACAGTAGCACTAAGCACAACGTTAGGGACCTGGTTTGTCCAGACAAGCCAGGCAAGCCAGGCACCTTACTCGTGAGGCCCTCCTCTACCTGTCTTTGGCCAGACTCCGAGTCCACGATAGGCCCGATCCAAACCGTAGCCAATCTTGAATTTCGTCCAATGCCTCATCTCCGAACTCCGCCGCCTGGCCCTGATTTGCCCTCAGACTGATTTGCCCTCAGGCTGATTTGCCCTCAGGCCTGCTACATGGTACCTTTCTTCCTGGTCGACCTGTCCGCGCATTCAGATCTCGTGCCACCCTCAAGCCCGTCGCTCGCAGCGTGCGCAGTGCGCAACTCGCGTCTCCCGGATCTGGTGCCTTGCCCTGTCCGACCCATTTCTGCCGCCCCCCCGCTATCATGCCCCCCTTCAGGTTTCTCATTGCGACTCCATCGCAAGACCCACGATCCCCCTTCGGTTCTGCGCTCTTCGGGATCAGAATCCGCTTTACCCAGGACACATTGCTGTCCCTGCACACGGTCGAGTGGGCTCTGGATGGGCCCTTCAGCCCAACAAGAAAGAAATCAACGTGTCCACAGTCCCCAGTCCCCAGTCTGGGCAGTCTGGCCGGGCCATTGTTGAGGGCGACCATCTTTGCCGTTGTGTTGCCCCTCCTTCCTCCCATAGGTACTGACGGACAACCACCCCCTCACTGACACAATATCTAAACTTGGGATCAACAGAGCAGCGTCAAAGGAACGCCACAGACACCTGTCGGCATGCAAAATTATCATGTGCTTCTTCACGAGATGCCGAGGGACTCCTTACTGGTAGTCAATACAGCCCGCACTGACAGACAGCTTCTGTGCGCAACTGGCCCCCCCTGCGTCGTCTGCGCCGTCTGCACAGTGACAGGGGTCTCGGCGGACGTTCCCTGTCACCCTGGCCCTTTGCGCAGGCAATAATGCGGGGGGATTGCTTGAAGATGGTGTCGAGCAGGTTCGGTGTGCTGCCCAATCGGGAAGCCCATTCCCGGCCCTGTCTCGTAAGTGGATGGCAGTTGGTCGACGACCTTGCCCAATGCGAAGAGGAGTGCGAACGACACGGGCAGAATGGGGCCAGACGCCTCCTCCTGTCGCTCCTTTTCGACCGTGTGTTGGCGCACGTTGGTATAGTCGGGACAGCGGACGCCAGCTAAGACACGAGACACCAGACGAAAAAAAGTAGGCGGAAAAAAGAACAAGGCATGTGTTGTGCTTGTCTCCTCCCCCCCCCCCCCCATTCCACCTCGCAGAAGCCCAGGAGCATGTGGCGATCATCAAGCTACTACGCACTACCAACACGGCCCTTGCACTTTCACCTGCTACGTTGTACTACGCTGTACCCTCGCAGTGAAGGGAACGTACCAGAGGCCTGACAGCAAGAAGCTCGTGCCTTTCTTTTCTTCTGAACTGGTAGGCAAGCAGGCACATTCAACACAAATCCAGCCAGGCGCCCCAGACGCATCCCCATCCTACCCCGGATGGATCTCTGAAATCTCCTCGCAGTGCATACCCATCCTGTTGTTGCCATCTAGATATTAAAGTCCCCCCCAAGGTCCCACCCCCTCTCATCTCGTTCTTTCCCCTTCCTCCCTTGTCGTCCGTTTTTCCTTCACTGGGGCTTCCATCTGCGAGTAAGACAATACTCACACATACACACACATACCGACTGTCTCGTCGTCGAAACTCACACACAATGGCGGACAAGGTTCAGATAGCTCAGCATGAGCAGCCCATTGAGAAGCGTGGCAAGCGCAAGTCGTGCATGCGACACTGCGCCAAGTTCTGGTGGATTTACCTCCTGGCCTTCATCGCCATTGTCGTCCTCGTCGTCTGCTTGATGTAAGACGGGCTACCTGTTCTGCCGCGCCTTCGCTAGCTCCGTTGCTGACCCCGTCACAGCATCTTCGTGGCTATTCCCAAGATCGCCCAGAACAAGTTGGACCACGCCGAGCTCACTGTTGATGGCATCATTGTCACCAAGACCGAGGAGGACAAGTTCAACATGGCCATCAACTCGACCATCCGCTCCAAGGCCGGTGTCAAGGCCAAGATCGCCCCCTTCGCCGCCGTCATGTACCTCGAGGACATTGAGTCGCACATCCCCTTTGTCCACCTCGACTTCCCCGAGACCGAGTCTGTCAAGATCCAGACCGTCAACACCACCCAGGAGGTCACGATTCCTGACATGGATGCCTTCACCACCTTCAACACCTGGCTGCTCGGCAACGAGACCCTCCGCGTCACCGTTGAGGGCAAGACCCACGTCAAGGTCAACGGCATCTCCAGGAAGTACGGCGTCACCTTCAAGAAGACCATGGAGCTCACCGGTACGTTACGCCTGGCCCTGCTGTTTTTCTGAGGAGCGGACAAAAATACTGACAGAACGCAGGCCTGAACCACTTCAAGGGTCTTACCGTCACCTCGAACCGCGTCAACATTACCCACGACGACAACGGCGACAACTTCTTCGGCTGGGTTGATATTCCTAACCCCTCCGTCTTCACCATTGAGATTGTAAGTTCTTCCGACGTGTTTGTCTTGGCTCCAGGAGAAGACACCTCCTAACATCATCTTCAGGGCAACGCCTCCTTCCACACCTACTACAACTCGTCCAACATTGGTACCGCCTTCCTTGACGACCTCTACCTCTACCCCGGTATCAACAACGTCAGCATGCGCGCCAACATCAGCACGGCCCCCGTCGTCCGCGCCATGAGCTCCGAGCCCGCGTGCGACACTGGTATCGTCGACTTCCAGCTGGGTGGCCGTGACGTTTTCAACAACGGCGAGGACCTTGCCTACTTTGGCAACGCTCTCAGTGTCTCCAACCTCACTGTCCCCATTGAGTTGGCGACGGCCTTTGAGAGGGACGTTGGTCTCACCTTTGAGTGCTAAATCATTCAATCGTCTGCCTGTAGTAGAAGATGTGCATATGTCTGTTTATTAATGAGGAGGAAACCTTGCATGTTTGGGACTATGATACCAGAAGAAGAAATTGACTCGTGGCTGTACCACCATTTACAACCCACTTGCTACTTGTCGGCTGTGACAAAGTGTGTGACTGTGCAAAGGTAGGGTTGTCATTGTTACCCCAGACGGGCAACCAAGAACCCAGGATTGTCGGCGAGACATGGCTACATTGTCGGATGGGCTGGGGATTGCTAACGACTTTCGGCTGCCCGTTAGCGTGTCACGTTGGTCAGCCAGATCCGGTCGACTACGACACCCTGACGCAGCGCGCTCTGATCATCAACTGTTGATCGCAGCGCACCTCGGCCGCACTTTGGTTCCGAGCACCACGGATGCAACTGGAGCAGTGCGCACCATCAAGCAGCAAGTCAAAATTCTGGCGAGCTTGCCCAATTTCCACCCTTCCCTGAGGCTACCTGTCGCATCATTTTATCAAATCCGCTCATTTTATCACATCCGCTTAACGGGATTGTATGAGACAACAAGTCGCTCCGCGAAGCCGTTGGTGCCTTGCGCATGCCATGATCCGTAGATGCTCGTCCCGCACGCTATCCACGTCCTCGGCATGTCACATGTAAAAAAGGACACCAGGTGCCTCATCCTGTGATCCTAGTCCCAGTGTATCCTACTGCACACGACGTTTGATCCTCGGGATCCCCTCCCTCCCCCCTTCTCCCCACACACCCTCCTTCTACCATGCCCCAGCTTTCCTCTTGCTACCCCTCAACCCCCCCGCCTCACTTCCGCTCCCCGGCGTGCCCCCACCACTGCTCGCTGCAACGAAATCGACCCCCGTCCGCTTCCCCGCGCTCCTCTCCGCCTCCCTCTCCTTCCTCACCCTCTCCTGACTCAGCCGCAGCGGGCCGCGGAAAGCCCAGTCGGGAAACCCACGGCCTCCTCGGCCGCCGTCGCCGTCGCCGTCACCGTCACCGCCGGCAGCGGCCCCCGCAGGATCCCACACGCCGGCCGACAGCGTCGTGGCGTACTGGGCGCGCGGGTCGTCGTCGTGCCCGAGCCCGACAAAGCCGAGCAGCTTGTCCATGAGGGCGGGGTTGCGCAGCGCGGCCGAGGCCGTGAGCTTGGCGTTGAAGTGGACGCCCTTGCTCTTGAGGTCGAGGAACTGCTGCGTCTTGGCCGTCAGGGCCGGGGGCGGCGAGCCGGGCGGCGAGGGCGGTATGTCGAGGTTTGGCGTCGGCGGCAGCGTCAGGTCGCGGAGCAGGGCGCGCGAGGCGGTGTACGGGGAGGCTGGGCGGGCTGTGGCGGAGTGCTGCGGCGCCGAGGGCGAGGAGGGAGAGTGCGAGGGCTCGGGGAGGTACGAGGGCGCGTCTGCGTCCGGGAGGGAGGGGCCTAGGGGCACGGAGTGTTGCTGGATGGGACCGATGGGCGGTTCCTCGGGGGCTGGGGCTTGTGGCTGTTGTGGTAATGAGGATGAAGCGGCTGGTTCTGGTTCTGTGGGCTTGGAGGGTGCGTTGGCGGGTAGGGTCTGGTGGAATTGTGAGAAGCTGTTGGAGATGGGGGGCCTTCATGGAGATGACTTACCTTGACGGCCTCGGCTTGGACATTCTCTTCATCGTCTTCATCACTGCTGTATCCGACCAGCAACGCCATTCTGAAGGGTCTCTTTGCGTCAGGATGGCCCCAGATTGGTGTTTTGAATGAGCCTCCAATGTTGAAATGATAAATCGACAAGGTCTTGTTACACGCAAAGTTGTCGTGTGAGATGGTCGTTGACATGAAGTCGAGTGTGAAGGATGCGCCACAGCAAGTAGGAAAGCCGCGCCCCACCCACTCTCCAGCCACTTCGGATGGTCTCCCAAAATTCAGGCAAGGCTCCACCTCCACCAGTAGCTCACCTCCACCAGTAGGTACCTAAACGTCACAGCTGAGGACTCTGTCGGAGGCTTTCATCACTCCTCCACCTATGCAAACCTTCCAAGCTCGCCGCCATCACTCCCCTCGGCATCCATCACCGGTCGCACCGGTATCACTCTCATCAGAGGGTTGCTAACTAGTATCACTCGACGCAACGGCCATCGCGCCCACGACCAGCAACTCCTAAGCAACCCCCCTTACCGAGAAGAAGCCTCCGAAGTAGCTCTCACCACCTGTCTCGCTGAGCCTCGAGAACCACATCATGGCTCGGACCAGGGACTCGCGCTCACCATCGCCTGCAGGAAGCCACCACAGCTCGAGACGTCGCAAAGATGATGATCGACGCGAAAGCCACCGCCGCGATGACGGGCGCGACTACCGCCGTCGCGACCGCACCCGGAGCCCTGCCGACGTGAGAACCCACCGCGGCCGTCGCGATGAGGACTTTTCTGACAGGACCCACGAGCAGCGCCGATACCGCGACCGCGACAGTGACCGCCGCCCACGCGATGACCGCGATGCCTACCGCCGCAGAGACCGCTCCGTAGATCGAGACGACGGCCGACGTCGACAGCGGCGGTCGCGCGAGAGGTACCCCGACCGCGAGCGCGATCGCTCCGCCGACAGACGAAGATACAGAGATGGCGACAGGGACAGGGACAGGGACTACCGCCCACGCCGTGACGACTCGCGGGGACCGCAACCGCGGGCGTCGGGAGGGCACCGTCGAGTCGCAGCCCCGCAACAGACGTGACGGCAGCCGCCCACGAGGTGCCGCCGGCCCTTCCTCTGCCGGTGCAGCCGGCCATGAGAGTGCGAAGCCCAAGCCTGCCACTGCTGCGCCCGCGCAGTCGGAAGCCGACAAGAAGGCCGAGCGCCTGGCGCGCCTCGAGGCGTGGAAGAAGAGCAGAGAGACCAAGAAGGAGACTGAGGTTAATCCGAGTCAGACTAGGAACCTCCTCGCCGAGATGGACCAAAAGTCGATCGCCACTCCAACCGTTGCGTCCCCAGCCGTGGCGTCGCCCTCGGTGGCCTCGCCGACGTCGCAAACCATGTCCGGGCCTGCGTCGCCTGCCCCCTATGCCGGCAAGTTTGATCCAAAAGCCATCGCCAAGAAATCAGCGGCGTCGTCTCACAAACACGGTACTGCTAACGGCGTCCTGGGCGCTTTCGACGCCCAAGTCAGCAAGACGGCAGCTCCGGTGAAGCAGGACTCCAAAGGTATGCAATTACATCGTACACCCTCGCTCGTGCAACCCACTGACAGCCATGGAACAGCATTCGCACTCCCGGCAAACCGCGGTAATATTAGCACGTTCGGGTTTAGCAAATCCAGCAATGAGAAACCCCAGGCCAAGCGAAAGCTCGTCCTCGACGAGGAAGACGACACAAAGAGAAAGCTGACCAAACTGCCTGCTCTCCCGCTCGAAGCCGACGATACCCCCTACGCTGACCAAGACGAGGGTGACGATGGCGATTCAGACGGCGACATCTTCGCCGAGAACGAGGAAGAGGCCGCAGCAGCGGCCAGAGCGGCGCACGAGAGGCGTGAGCGAGAGATGAAGGTCGATACAGACGAGGCACCAGAAACGAACGGCACCACGGAGGAAAAAGCTGACGGCGATGAGATGGAAGTCGACGCTACCGGCGCTGAGCCCTCCGCGCCAGTCGTTGAGGAGGTGCAGCCTGAGCCTGTGCGTGAGGAGCCTCAAGAAGTCATGAAGGTTGACGAAGAAGAAGAAGAAGACGATGACGCCGATCCGCTCGACGCTTTCATGGCAGACCTACAAGAGACAGGATCGAGGCCGGCGCCCAAGACAAGGACCAAGCCCGCTCCTGAACCAGAAGCTTACTACAGCGATGACGACTTTGCGTACAGGGACGAAGATCCCAACGCAAAGAACCCTTTGGCCGTCAAGCGCAGGAAGAAGGAGATCCCTATCGTCGACTACAGCAAGATTGAGTTTGAGCCGGTTCGCAAGAACTTCTGGACGGAACCAGCAGAACTGAGTACCCTCACAGAAGCGGAGACTAACGATCTGCGCCTCGAACTAGACGGTATCAAGGTGTCTGGAAACGACGTTCCCAAGCCTGTCCAGAAATGGGCGCAATGCGGGTTGACACGGCAGACTCTGGACATCCTGGCCGATCTGGGCTATGAACGACCAACGTCCATCCAGATGCAGGCACTGCCATGTCTCATGTCGGGTCGGGACGTCATTGGCGTCGCGAAGACGGGTTCCGGCAAGACCATGGCTTTCCTCCTCCCCATGTTCCGGCACATCAAGGATCAGAAGCCCATCAGGGGCGACGATGGTCCCATCGGGCTCATCATGACGCCGACGCGCGAGTTGGCAGTGCAAATCCACCGCGACTGCAAACCGTTCCTCAAGCCCATGGGCATGCGTGCCGTTTGCGCCTACGGCGGCGCGCCCATCAAGGACCAGATTGCTGACCTCAAGCGCGGTGCGGAAATCGTTGTCTGCACGCCGGGACGCATGATCGACCTGCTTGGAGCGAACCAGGGGCGGGTGACCAATTTGCGCCGTGTGTCCTATGTCGTCCTGGACGAGGCGGATCGAATGTTTGACATGGGTTTCGAACCTCAGGTCATGAAGATTTTTGCCAATATGCGCCCTGATCGCCAGACCATCTTGTTCTCCGCCACAATGCCCAGGATCATTGATTCCCTGACCAAAAAGGTCCTCAAGTCGCCGGTGGAGGTCACGGTCGGCGGCCGCAGTGTCGTTGCCCCTGAGATTACGCAAAAGGTCGAAGTGCTCGATGAGGGCGACAAGTTCTTCCATCTGCTTGGTCTTCTCGGCGAACTTTACGAGGAAGACGAGGATGCTAGGAGTCTCATCTTTGTTGAACGCCAAGAAAAGGCAGATGACCTGCTCAAGGAGCTCATGACCAAGGGCTACCCGTGCATGTCTATCCACGGCGGCAAGGACCAAGTGGACCGAGACTCGACCATCTCCGACTTCAAGAAGGGCATTGTCCCCATTCTCATTGCGACGTCGGTCGCCGCAAGAGGTCTGGACGTGAAGCAGCTGAAGCTGGTCGTCAACTACGATGCCCCCAATCATCTCGAGGACTATGTCCACCGCGCTGGACGTACCGGTCGCGCGGGGAACAAGGGAACGGCAGTCACCTACATCACCAGCGAGCAGGAGAACTGCGCACCCGGCATCGCCAAGGCCCTCGAGCAGAGCGGCCAGCCGGTACCAGAACGGCTCAACGAGATGCGCAAGGCCCACCGCGACAAGGTTAAGGCTGGCAAGGCCAAAGACACTTCGGGCTTTGGCGGCAAGGGCCTCGACCGACTTGACGCGGAGCGTGAGGCGGCGCGGCTGCGCGAGCGCAAGACGCACAAGGCCGAGGGCGACGACGACGACGAAAAGGAGGAAAAAGCCGGCGGTCAAGGAGAAGGAAGAGGAGAAAGCCGGCCGTTTCGATGATTCAGGCGGCGACGTCTGCCATCATGGCGCGAAGCACGGCGAAGCCCGACGGCGACGCCAAGGACAAGGAGTCGGCGGCACAGGCCACGGGCCCCGGCGGCAAGCCCCTCGACAAGGTCAGCGCGGCCATCAGCGCCATCAACCAGCGCCTCGGCAAGGCGGGCCAGCTGCGCTCCGGCCAGCCCATCGACAACAAGGGCCCCGACGCCGGCGCGTACCACGCCACGCTCGAGATCAACGATTTCCCGCAAAAGGCGAGGTGGGCCGTCACGAACAGGACCAACGTGGCCAAGATTCTCGAGGCAACGGGCGTGTCCATCACGACCAAGGGCACCTTTTACCCGGCTGGTAAGGAGGTGCCGGCGGGCGCCGACCCGAAGCTGTACATTCTCGTCGAGGGCGACACGGAGGTCGTGGTCGGCGCGGCCATGACCGAGCTCACCAGACTGCTCAGCGAGGGCGCGGTGGCGGCGGATACTGCGGACCGCCGTGCACCAGCGTCCGGGCGCTACAATGTTGTGTAAAAGCTAGGACTTGTTACTGGGTGGCGATTTTTCCTGGAGGGCGTTTTACGGGATACCAGACCGGCAATAATACAATGCAACAGGTTGTCAATGTGCGATGAGTTCGTTCTCCAGTGATGCAGTGCCAGGCGACGATATTTCACGTTGACAGCGGGTGCAGGTTGCAAATGCTGCAGCCTTCAGGAGTGGTGACGGCCCATGAAGTACAGTGTCGGCAGTCATCCTATCCAAGCTGCACAGCATTCACTCACAGATCCCGATTGATGTTAGCAATCCTTGCATATAAGGAGCAATACTACGCTCCCAAGGCATAATTGGGGGCTCCATGAGGGGATGGAGGGGAGAAATAAAAACCAAGATCACCGCTTCATAAACGCCACAACAGGACAAAGAGGCCGCTTCCTTCCCAAGGCGCTCTTGTCCATAAACCGCCGACGCCAAGCAAGCAAACTTTGCAAATGCAAAAGACGAATCGAAATGCCCAGTCATATACGCCCAAACTACCAGGGAAGCCTACCCTCGCCTCGCGCATCCTTCAGTTGTAGTCTCGCGCCACGGCCGCCGCGTCCGCCGCCCGATGCTGCCTCTCCTCGGCGCTCAGCTGGTTGAGGGTATCTTTGCGCGTCTGTTTCTTCTGGGCGTTGAGCTGCGCGCCGAGCTTGCCCGTTGGTTTGCTGGCGGCTTTGGCACGGGCCTATGGTAGGAGGGGAAGAGTCCCCCCGTCTGTCAGTGTCTCGCTCGGTTCGGCGGGACCGCTTGTAAGCTTGGTGGGATGTATGCATGTACGCACCTCAGCTGCTTCGGCGGCGCGCTGGCGCTGGTCATCGCGACCGGCGGTCGAGGCTTCGGGGCCGCCTCCGCCGAGGGTGCGCGGTGGGCCGCCGACCTTGGGGACTGGGGCGGTCTGGCGCTGGGGAGGGGCGGTGCCGAGGGGTCGACCGGGGGAGGCGAAGTTTTCGGGCTTCTCTTTGCCGCAGACGGAGCCCATCGTGGTCGGGTGGAGGGGGATTTGGTGGTTGACGAGGCTGAGCGAGGTTGAGGGTTGAGGGTTGAGGGTTGAGGGTTGAGGGTATCGTGAGAGGTGCTTGTAGGGTTGCAGTCGCAGGCGTGATGTCACTGTCGTCGCAAATCGCCAGTGGCAAGTCGCAATGGATATTCAGTGCACGAATGGTGGGTGGCGGTTGAGTAAAGATTGGATGAAGTTGTGATCAGAGAGTGTAAGGTGGAATAGCAATGCTCTGCGAACCGAGGACATGGCCTGCAATCAGCCACTTGGAGGGGACGCGCAAGTTCTGGCGAAGCTGCCAAGAAGGACCTCCTAAGCCTCCTTCCTTGGCCACGAATGGGTGGTGACAATTGGGCGGGG